GCGCAGCGCCCCTCCCCTCGGGCAAACCTCCACGAAGGCGTCAGTCAGGTCACTAGCGCGGTCCATCACAGGCAAATGGCGCCCTGCCACAATTTTGACCTTCAGCTTTCCCGGCATCTTCCTCTTTCTCCTCCCCCGGGCTGCAGGGAAAAAGCAGCTCGCGTCCCATGGAGCAGAACGGCACAGGGCGGGGGGGCGGGGGGAGAGAGGGCGCACATGCGCCGCAGCAGGCACGGCTCTGCGGCTGCGTACCCCTGCCTGTCGCCGGGACCAGGTTGCGTCAGGGAGGGAACGGCCGCTGGGCGCATGCGCTACGTACTGGGTCACCGCCGCGAGCGGCTGGCCAAGCGGGAGGGGGGGCGGCGGCGCTGGGGGGCTGTGTTCTGCTTCTTGTTCTTCCCTCGGGCGGCAGGGCCTGGGGGTTCCCGCCGCGCAGCTTGGTTCTGCCCCCATCGCGTTCCCTCAAACTCAGATGGCGTTGTGGGCACGGAGGCCCCGCTGTAAGCCGTGCGCCCCTTTTTTTGATGGGTCGCGGGCTACTGTCTTGGGGCTCCGGTGGCTCGGGCCTTCTGTGCTTCCAGCTTTCCCTGAGAAAGGAGCTGCTGCAGTTTCGGGCTTGAGGGCCCATTAAAGAGGAGGTGTGGAACATGTGTGCGTCTCCAGGCACTCGGTGGGAGGGTCCTTCCAGTGGATTTAAACCAAGTCCCATGGGTTTGAGGTTTTTTCTTAATCAAAGACAAATATTTTTGGTATTTAAGGGATTATGAATAGATTAAATGGAATTTAGTTATCAGAAATAGGATTTCAGATGGTGCTTGTAGCCAGGTTTTGACTTTTTGATGCCTGAAAAGCTCCTTTTTTAGGAAACAGTGCTGTGGGGGCTTGAGGCAAACCAAAGGAGTGGGGCTGGTCAGGAGCCACATCAAGTGTGTGCCTGCAGGTGGGAATTTGGGAGTATGAAACCGGGTTGCATGTCATCTGTGAGGTGTAGACTGTCCTGCTAGAGTGGTGGTGAACAGGCATATAAAAGACCCCTTGTGTTTAAGGAGTCCCCAGATGTTGAGCCAATGGTAGATCTGGTTGGCTATTTTCTTCCTTATCTTACAAAAAGACTAAATAATATTATGGGCTGCAATCTGGTACTGCTAACACAAACCATACAAATGAAATGTGTGTGGCATAGCAAATTAATGTATAGAATGTCTTTGGCTGTGGATCTTCCAGCTAGCTGCATTTAGTCTCACTAATATAGACTTTGTTGCTTGTTTTTAAGTTACCTTTGGAATAATTCACATTGTTGCTAGTATGCATCATATCCAAGTAAATTATAAACAAGCTAGATGCATTTTTCTTCCTTATCCATCCCTGTTTGAGTGGAGTACAGGAATGATACTGCTCCTCAGGCAAAACAGTAGTAAAGAGCAAAGACCCAGGAAGGGAATCAAAACCAGAAAATACACTAGTGTTCAGGGTTTTGTTTAGACCAGAAATGTGCTTTTTGAATGGGATCTCCTGGTGTCACCAGTTTAAATGTTGTTTTGGCTCATATAATTGAGTGGTTACAGAGCATAAGAATTGAATCTTTCATTTGGATAAGACTAAACTGAAAAGTGTAAACTAGCAATACATTAAATACATTCTAGCTGTTTAAGGGCGTTTGGGCTGTAGAAGCAAATGGAAGGTAGCATGATAAACCCCCTGAATTGCGTATGGTATGGGTGCTAGGTCCTCAGCACTTTCACCCTAAAGATGGGCCATTCATTGACCGTTGCTTGTTAATATAGCCATTCCTATGTCTTAACTTCCCTTCATTAGAGTAGAAAACTACCAGAAGATGGGACTACAAAAAAACCATTCTCTGCCCATGTTAGATACAGCATTGTTTGGCCTTCCTTAACTGGTGGTGTACTGCTTTATAGCCCAGGATTTAGGGGGTGTAAAATAAATTCTTGAGTACAAACAAGTAAAAACAATGTAAGAGTTAACTTTGTCATATGTTCTTTTTTTTCTGGCTAAACACCTGTTTCTTTGCTTCTTTTACTAGCTAAAATTACAATGCAACAATTATTAGGAAGCACTGTGTGGTTATTGTGATTTTTACAGCACGTCTTGTGATACGTAGAATACTTTCATCTTATCATGAATCCTTTAAAAAAGTTCTTTAATTTGGAAGAGGAATTTCTAGCCCATCGAACAAAAGATTGAAACTGTCTTTACATTATAATCAAAAGGACACAAACATAGTTTAGTTCTGTATGTAGTGATGGGTAGGTAGCTTTAACAAACCCGTTTGTGATGCCAGAGCCTTTCTAAACCCCTCTTTAGTCACTGAACACAGCAAACAAAACCGGAGCTCTTTATTGTTCACCAAAGATTGGACAATTTGCCTGACTAACGGCCAGTTAATACAGTGAATACCTGGCTAAATGTACTGCCTTGTTACATGCAATAGCTGCAGTTTGGGACAATCCTTAAACAATTCAGACATTATTGTTTCAGATGCTTGCTGAAACATTTAAGAAAACATGTAACACTGTAATCTCTTCAAGGCAGGTTCTTGTAAACCTGCAGCACGCCTGTCTCTTAAAGACATCTCTAATCTTCCTAAACAATCTACCTCAACACTTCCTATTCTCAAACTTCTGAGAAAAGATTTTTCTAAAGTTAAAACTGGGGAGGCGGGGGGGAGGGGAGGAGCGGTGAGGTCTGGTGAAATGCAAGTCTGTTCTTGTTTTGTCCGCTGAATCTAGAGAATAGATTATCCCTTTAGAAATAGGATTAGACTGGTAGTAACTGCTACATATTCTTCTAGGTAACATGTTTTTGTTGTTTAATTTATAGCATCTGAGCCAATAGGAGCCCCAACTTAATAAAAAGCCTACACTAATTTCACTTGTGGACTCCCATCCTCTTACTTTATGAGAGAGAAGAAAGAATTGTTCCCTTTAATCATGCAAAGTTGTTCATGGATTTTTTTATGGACGAAGAATCTAATTTTTTTTTTTTTTTTTTTGCTTGTTTGAAATAAGTAACTTTAATTTTTCCAATAAGTAACTTTAGTTTTTCCATTCTTTCTTCATAGGTCTTTTTTTCATGCCTCTAAACATTCTTTTTAATGTCTCCTGATGACTCTCTAATTAGGCCATATTTTTCTTGAAGTATAATATCTCAAATAGGAAATAAAGTTCCAGAGAAGCTTTATCAGTGTTGCCCAGTGAACAACTCTGGGATTGTGAAATACAGGGATTAATGCAATGTATATTTCTCAAAAAAATTCTAAGAATCCAGCTTTTCAGTGGAAGATTTTACTAGTCAAAGGACTAGAAAGGAGAAAAACACCTGTTTTAGAGAACCAGTTCCAATATGTTTCTTAGATACGTGGAAGAATCAAATAGATATGATTTAATTCATTAAGAAAACTGCTTGGTGTATTATACCTGTCTTAGGGCTGAGAACTTTCAATACTGGCAGAATGAGACTTACCATTAATCAGCATGTTACTTAACACATTTCATTCCAATAGTATTCCAGTTCTCTAGGGCCAGCAGGGACTTGAGGAAAGGGAATGTTAGAAGAGACTCATTTGAAAGTTTAGTCAAAGCCCTAGAATTATGTAAACTATTTGAGGCATCTAAAATTTCCCTCTGTTATAGGCAAATTATGTTCAATGTAATGGATGTACCTGAAACCAAAACTCTAATATGTACTTTCTCAGTAATATGCATGCAAAAGTTCAGAGAAAATATTGACATGTATTTTCATCATAAGGAAAAAACTACATGTGACATCTGACTTTGCACTTTAGTATCCACTTTGTGTCTTGCTGAGTTTTTTCCCTTCTGCTTATAAGTGATGCTTTAGCAGGTTGTCACAACAGAAGTGGTGTTTCAGCAACAAGTATGAGATGCTTAAAGGGCAGTATTATCTTATTTGAACAGGTACTGTCATGTATTAAATAGCATTGTAACCCAACTATACAAACCAAGAATATTGCTAATTGTAATATTAACAATATCTTATGTGGAAAAATGGGTGAAATAAAAACAGAAGACTTTTGTATGGGGACACAGGGAGATTTTACCATCTAAATGTGAAGATTCATATATCCCTTCTTTTTCCAGTTGTTGTAAGTATGATAGAATTTTGTTTTGTGTTTTGTTTTCTGCTTAACTGCTAGCTCACTGTATGCTTAGGTTTCCAACAAATAGAGATTTCCTTTGTGATAGACATGCATGTTGAACCGTTAGTTTAAAAATTAACTCTAAAGAAAAGGTTTTCCCTGTAACTTCAATCTGCTGACCCATCACTTCAGGGTAGGTTTCAATTATATTAGCCTACTAGCCTTCTTCAAGATACAGATTAGAAGGTGGTGGTCACCTCGGGTAACACATGCCCTGAGATGTGGTGGGCTCTGTCTTAACCATGGGGAAAAGTGCTTTTTGATTATAATGTATTGAGCTGATTTGTACAAAAAGGAATGAAAAGGGTTTTTTGGATTTTTTTGTTTGTTGAAATGCACCAAAGATAATTAGTATTCACAGAAGACACTGGCTCCTGTGATAAGTAGTCTTTGAAACAGGAGTTTTTATTAACTTTTACCAACAAAGCAAACTCTGCAGTACCAGTTTTTGGTTTCCGTAAAAATCACAACATCTCTTTATAAAACTACATGTTTCAAAGCAATCTGGTTGAAATCTACAGGACACTGATCCAAAAATATTTTAATAAGGCTCAGAGGGGTCCTATATCCAGAGTGACATATATGTCTTTAGGAAAAGGACCCCTGCATCTCAGGAAAAAACAAAACAAAACAAAAAACCCCCGAACAAACAAGACAATCTCAACAAAACCAAAACAACAACATTACTTCTGTTCTATGTGTGCCCACTACTATTTATTATTGCCTCTGTGTATTTAATGTGGCATTGCAACCCCTAATCCCTCTCATTAGATTAAAAGATATGGAGTGAAATCCTGTCTCAGTAAAATCAGTAAGGTAAAACACTCTCACTGAAATGAAGAGATGGGTTTTATTATGAACTCCTGGGGGGAACAAGGCTTTGTTACTGAGGTTTCTGATTTACACTGGAGGAGCTCACTGTAGTTAAGCCTGTTAAACAGAAGATTAAGAGCAGTGTTAATGTCTGTTACTATCTACATGAACAAATTCCTGCTACCATAAGGGTCTATAAGATAGCAGGTGTGATAAGGAAAGAATGGAAACATGAGCAGAACAAATTAAAACTCAAAATATGTAGACATGACTAATGGAAATGTAAATTATCATTGGGCAAGTTATCAAAGGTAGGCATTTTTTAATTGCCTGTAATCATAAATCATTGGGAGCACTTAGAATCTGTAGTCCCATCACTGAGACTGAATTTTTTGCTGACCTGTGGGTGAGAACAAAAAAGAAAAGGCCTGTGGCCTTGCAGAGATTTGCACTACAGGAAGCAGGAAGGTGACTGTTGGCAGGCTACAGTCCTCCAGGATTGTCACC